CCCGGAGGGGGGACCCCGAGCGGCTCCGGGCGCGGCCTGCGCGCCTCGCGCGGGGAGCCATCCCTCTCCTGCGGTATGCTCTGATTGCAGAGGGAGAGCCGCCCCGAGGAGGCCCCTGACGGTGCAGCAGAGGGGTCGCGGTTGGAAGGCAGCTCTGACGAGCGGGATGTCGTCGAAGGCCCATCGCGTTTTACTGTGGAGGTGACTTTCTTTAAAATGTCCCTAGGGCAACGCGTTCCAGCACGGTCATTACAAATCAATGTCCTGGTGGAAGCAGTTTAAACTGAAGAAACAAAACAAGCAAGCAACTATTGCAGTCTTATGCTGAGTATAAAAAAAGGAGGCCACTAGAAAGTGAACTTAGTTACAGTCCAAGTTCTCAGCAGACTCTTGTAGGGTGTCTTTTTCACTCAGCTCTTACATAGCACGTTTCTGCTGTAGATGTTTTAAGAAGGAAGTTATTCCCATTTTATAGATGCACATACTCTGGTTCTTTTCTGATATTTGTTGGGAATAACAGCTTTTCCTCCAAAGACGCATTGGTGCTGTACAATATTTGAGTTTGGCCACTGATGATATGAGATAAAAGAGTGTGTCTTTAAAAAGAAAGGTAGGAGAAAATACTTTGGTTGCATGGAGTGCCAGCTGTAAGACTTTCTGTAATAAACCCCTAAGGGCGTTTGAAAAAAAATCTTAGAATCACGTGAAATTACAAGTGGTGCGTAGAATTCTTGTCAGGACCTTTACTATTGTAAATGTTAGCTGGGGCACCTTTTTGCAAATGAGGTCATAATAAATTTACTTTGTGCGTTGTGACAAAAAGTAATTGTTACAATACTGTAGCAATAACATTAAATAGAGTACACAACCCGTTATAATGCTATCTATTTGTTCTGCTTTTTGCCTTTATTGTATGCTAGACAATAGAGCCAGAGAACGGGAATGACAGTGAAGAAGAAGAGACTGTTCCTCTGAAGGACCAAGAAGAGACATTTCTCCCAGCAGAAAGAGTCACCTTTGGGGCTGCAGAGCTGTCCATTGCTTCTGCAGAAGTGAGATGCTCTAATTATATACGTGTATATATATATATGTATATATATATATATATATATATAAAATCTTATTCACAAAATCCACGACCAGTATTTATAACTTTAAGTTCTCCTGTTGCAGAAGCAGTTTTATATATAAAATCTTATTCACAAAATCCACAACCAGTATTTATAACTTTAAGTTCTCCTGTTGCAGAAGCAGTTTTATTGCTGCAAACACAAAAATGGTCTCAGTTGGAATAGAGAGAAGCTAATTGGTTAAGCAAGAAGTATACAAGAGCTCTGACAAAATTGGAGAGGTTCCTCTGTTAACCTATATCTTTCTAAGGTTTCTCTCATCAGGAATTACACAGCCTTGCTGGTATGTCTGTGGGGTCATTTTAGAACAAGGCTGACACTTGCTGATTCTTTGTCTATATCATTCCTGTCTCATGGTGACAAAAACGAGCAGAGTTTTACAGGACAAATAAAGTCAGAGTGAAGAGCTGTTTCATACGATGGATTTCATGTTTCAGGAAAAATCTGCTAAGCCTTTCTCAGACAAAGTTGAAGTTGACAGTCACCCTCCTGAATTGGGTGACATGCAGCAGCCAATAATAGACAGAGGAAACTCTTCCCGTACATCTGCTGGACCACTCATGCAGACACCTGCATTGTCAGTGCAGATGGACAGCCACACAGAATCAGGTATCAGTCAATTCCTTATTAACAGTACAATACTTGATACCACCTATCAAAGAAAGTATCTAGTTTTCTCCATTTCTGATCATTGTGAATCCAGTGGAGGCATATTACTATAAAATCTAAGCCTTACCATTGACCTCTGGAAGTGCTCAAAGCCAACCTTTAAATTCCTTACATTATAACTTTCCTCCTCATTGTTATGGTCACTGCATTTTTATGACTGATTTACTGAATGCTACTAACATTGTGAGACAATCTAAGTTGCCAAGGAAAGGAGGCTTTGTTGTGTATTTCCTTCCAGCAGGACATCTGCTAATCTTGGCACATCCTCTAATACATAGAATTTCCTTTCTATGACATCTCCCTTTTGGTTTTGGAGTGCAGATGACATTGGAGAACCCATTTCTCTCTATTCGGAGGCTGCCTTTGAGGAATCCAGTCAGCGTGCTAGTGAGCATGGTGGTCGAACATGGCAACAGGAATACCAACAGCGTGGAGCTGAGGAAATGGAAATAAGTGGAAGAAGCAAGGAAACAGCGGAAGAAACACAGCTGGTTGTCTTGGATCCAGAACATGTGAGAAGAGTCCCCAAACCTTGCCATTCCTTTTTGCCATCTTGTCATTTTTAATGGTAGCCACACAAAACCTGGGAGACAAATTATAAGCAGAGTCTTACCTGTAGGTTAAAAATAGCTTTTACAAAAGTACTCGCTCCTGAATAATGTGTCTACTCCCTCAGTATTAACCTCAGAGTTGCAGGTTGAGAAGTGAGGAACATAGCGGGCAAATCTGATAAGCTTTAGTCTTCTTGAAAGAGAAGTACTTGCAACAATGGTAGGTGGATGGATTCGCATATGTAGCTCTTCTGATATATTTATAACTTGCAAGCATTCTCAATATTCATTTTCTGCTGTAAATAAATACACACGACATAACTTTTCTCACTTGCTAGACTGATTATAGCTAAAATAGGAATCCAAGTCTTCACGGGAGAAAATACAATGTTTTATTTGATAGCAGGAGTAGTATTAAGGTTACTTCATAATTTATTTACATGAGTATGTTATAACTATCAACATCATTCTTCTTTATAGCCTCTAATGAGAAGATTCCAGGCTGCCCTGAAGAATTACCTTACCAAGCAGATGGAAAAAGTGAACCTGGATCTTCAGGAGCTGGTAGAGCACTCTTTCTTTGACTTCCACAGCATCTCATCCCTGTCCAAGCTGCGGTGAGATAACTGATTTCCTCTCGTGTTTGCAGAGGACAGCCACAAAGAAGAGCAAAGTACAGAGAGAAGAGCTTGGAGTGATTCTTTATGGAGTCCAGCAGCAGCTGGCCCACCTACAGATGGAACTGGAGAAGAGCCGTGACCGCCATTCTCAAATAGCCACAGTGCGTCAGCAGCTAGAAGAGGAAGTGGAGGGCCTCAGGCTTACTTACAAGAAAACACGTCAGAACACAGATGACGAACGCAAGAAAGGTGACTGAAGCAGTCTGGGTAATTTCCTGACTCTAGTCCCATGTAGATGAATGGATTTGAATATGTCAGGCATTGGATTGAAGAATACAGTAAAATCTGTCAGGAGTGACACACAATTAGTGTGCGCTAATTGAAGAGTTTCATGGAGGTGCCTGGTTGCCATGTTATTTCTACTGTTTCTAAGACCACATTGCTACTCTGTTCCTCTAAGAAGGTCTTTTGGACTAAGACGGTTCCTGGCAGGTAGGCTGTTCTGTGGCTTGGCAGTCAGCAGAGTTGACTTCCCATTACTCTGTTATGTTTGCCTGTGGTCTCTGTAAGGGCATATTGAGGTTACAAAGATTGTAGGTTGTTAACTAAAGGGGAGCCAGGAGGATCACATCATCCATGTGGCAGCCTGTTCCAGTTAGAGAAATGAACTTAACTCAGTCTTTCTGTGGTGCAGGTATTTAGATAGTCAACAGGAAAACAGTTCTAATGGCGAGGATAGTTAAACATTAAAATAGATTGCATGAAGAGTTTTTACAGGTTATTTAAAAAAATAAATAGAGAAGCCTTATTATCTAATGGTCTGAGAAAGACAGTTCTGTTTTGGAGCAGAGGAAAGGGTTTGTGGGCTCCTGAGGCCCTTCCTTTGATTTCCTGGGATTCTGAGTAGTGGGAATCAAGGAATCATTTACCATGATTTTTAGCTTTGCTTATGGAGCTGTATCGCAAAGCTGATGTCAATTCTTACTTTAGGGAGGACCATCTGATTTACCTGGTGTTTGTGGGGGTTTTACTTTGTGTACTACTTTATTTTCTTCCTTCATCTCTTTTAAAGTGTGTCCTACAAAAACACTTTTCTATAAATATCTTTTCCTCCTGCCTCCCTAGTTTCTGCAATGCAGACCCAGGTGGAAAACCTGGCCTTAAATCTCTTCTACATGCAGAATATGGACCAGGATATGCATCATAATATTTTGCTGATGAAACAGTCAACAAAAAAGGCTGAAGCAGAGAAGGTCCAGGCCGAGATGGAAAAGAAAAAACAGGTATCAAGTGAAAATGTGTTTGACAAAAAAAGCTGAGGCCTGGAGGAGAAGCTGCTCTGTCAGAAGGAAAGCCATAGTGACTGACTCAAGGAAGATGCGTGGGGATTTTTTCCCAAATAATTGAAACAACTGGATTTTCTAAAATGAGAAAAATATCCACTAGCAAGATATGCTGCACAAAGTTTTTGACAAACCTTAGAATAGTAAATCACTTTTCATGCAAGCAAAGCATGGGTGGGTGGGGGACAGAAAGAGATTTAGGGAAGAAGTATCGTATATTCAAGCCTTGGGAATTATGCTGACTCGTAATTAGTTTCACAATGGTGAATGAATTGAAAAAATGAGCTACGGTCCATCAATGTGTGCTGTAGCTCCCTCTGCTGGCTTCATGGCTTGTTTTTGCAACAGAATAAATATTCTATAATTACTGCTAATACAGAATCATATTCAAACAGTTGCAATAGAGTGGATTTAGATGTTTTTTTTTAACAATGCATTTAAAAACATTAATTATTATGATTCCCAGTTGCCAGAGAGGTAGCATAGTGTAATCTATGCTGATAAAAATGAATGCTACTTCAGATCTGAAATATTAATTTACTAATGTAAATGGAAAAATACAAGCCAGCAAAGAAGGTCACATTCTCTTGAAAACTGTCACTGCTGCATTCAGGACAATCATTCTCCTTTAAATGGAAAAGGTTTAGTAGGAACCAAATGTAATCCAGTTGCTGATTTAATCCTGCTTCTAGCGTATATGATTCTTCTTGTTGCGTATAGTTTTTTAAGATTGAGCTTGTAGTACTCATGCTGGACTCCTCACTCTGACTCTTTAGGACCTTCTAGTGGACCGCTTAACAAGAAAAGCCTATGAACTACAGGAACAGGTTGCTCTGTTTGAAGCTCAGATTGTGGCCCAGGCAGAGGACACAAAAATAACTCGACAAGCAGTAAACGAGGTAGGAGGTGACTTTATTTTTCACTTCTGGTTAATATTGCACTCTAGAGGGAGTGACCCCTTTGGTTTATGCTCACGTGGTATGTACAGTGCCATGTCATTTCCAGCGTCCTATAGTTCTTTCCTGTTTGCAGGAATGGAGGGGTTTGTTTTGTTTCCCTTTGTCCTTAAGAATTGCCTGTAAATCACTTCCTCCCCCACTTTTCAGCGTTTTGTCTTGGAGACCTATCACTTTTCTGTGCTCTAGTGTGACAATAAGCCAGACACGTATGGTTGGACAGATATTGTGAGTTAGCAGAAGAGAACTCTGCCTCCTCTCCAGCTTCTAGCTAACATAATTTTTGGCATATTATCAACTTTCTTTCTGTGCATCATTGGATCATTATAACCAGTATCACACAGAAATGATATTTAGCTTGACATAGAACTACCATAGCATAAATAATATTGTCATAACTCTATCATCATGCTGTCCTAGATGCACTAAGCCAATCATGATTTAAATTTGCACAGTCTTCCGTGTTTTATATCAGTAACTTGGTATTTTGGGTGATGCTTTTTGGCAAAAGATAGCAATATGAGTTGCTACCAAGGACCAGAGACAGGGTTTGGCTTGTTTGTTTGTTTTTCTTTCCTTCTTTCTCTCCTCCCTCCTCTCTGATTTTAACCAGAAATACCATCTGAAAATACCCTGTTTACTGTTGTTTTTGGAACTTTCGTTTGTAGCTTTAACGTGGCAAAAAAATGCAATGATATAAATTATGCCATCAAACACTTTGAAGTTCTTAGTGGGGACGAGTAGTATGATTTATGCCAATGTGTGTAGAAGAATAAGAATTAAACAAAAAACTAAAGAAAGAGCAGAAAAGCTTGAGAATGGAAAGCTGGTTTAGCTGAAGCTGTTCCTACCCAGCATATTATAAACAGAAAAAAGTATGCCATTGTTTCTCATTTTTTCTGGTTTCTTAGTCCAGTACAGATTCGGTCTATCTACAAATTCTCTCCTCCCCAGGCTAGTATGGAGGTACAGGCTATTAACATGGAGAAGAAGCGGTTGATGAACCACTGGAATAGTAGTTTGGCTGGAATGAGGCAAAGAGATGAGGCCTATGCTGCCATGCAGGACTTGCTGAGGTACAGTATCTGAGAGCAGTCCAAGGAAAGACCTCAGGTAATTTGGATGGGAGAGATTCTAAGAGGGGCAATATGTCCTCTATCAAGCTTATTACTGTATATGTAGAATATGTCAGACAGAATAAGTCTGCTGCTCTGAAGCACATAGCAGGTTAAAGGGAAAGGAGCATGGTTCTTTGTTACTTTTTTTTCTTCACTCACAACACAACCCTCCCTCAGAAATCTGATTTTTTTTTTTTTTTGAAAGCTACCTAGGGTTATTCTGCACGTATTTTATTCTTTCACAAAGTTCCTTCTACCTCGGCAACATCTCTCAGTCCAAAAAGCAAGCCACCAAGAAGGTTTTATTTATCACTTTCAGTTAGGGTTTTGTGATTCCTTCAGAAATCTTCAGGAAAACCTTACTAAAGGGAATGTTTATTTGGTCTGGAGTCTTAAAACTTAGACTGAGTCTATAAGAACAAAGTATGTTTTTATATGGTGACATCCCGGGCCAAACAGGAAAGGGTAAGGTGAAAACAAAAGAAGAAATTAGTTTTCCTACATACATTTCCTTTTACGTCTTAGCCTCTCCATCTATCTTCTGATAACTTTGCACTGTCACAGTAGACTGATCTTTATTAAAGATCTTCCTCTTCATTTATTTGCTTCTGCAACAGCATATTTGAAAAGAGGAATTTGTATGTGACTGTTCAGCACATGAATCAATCTGTGTGATGATTTTCCATCCTCTTTGCCTCTTCAGCAAGTACAGAGGTGAGCTCAGTACCCTAGAAACAGAGATCCATGGCTGCAGAAAGTCGATCAGGAAGGAGGAGGAGAAGAATGAGATGCTCGCCACCATCCTGAGCCGTTCTCAGAATGATGCTAATATGACGAAGAAAATGATTGCCCAGTGCCTTTCAAGGCAGGAGGCCTTGAAGGTTGAATATAGCACCTATACTCGCATTCTCCATGAGACAGAGCAGGCCCTCAGTAGAACAAAGATGGTAAGAAAAGCCATTTGGAGGGAGAATCCTTTTAAATAGGACATAGCTGTTTAATCCCCGTCCCCAAACAGTGTTAGTGATCCTGTCTCTGTCTTCTCTGCCTCTTAGGATCAAGCTGCTCGTGCGAACGAGTTGCTATCCATCAGTAAGGATATAGAGAAAGGAACTGATGCCAAAGAGCAACTGGAGAATGAGATCATGGCAAAACTTCAGGATCAGATGATGTCCAGCAAAGCAGCAAAGTACTTCTCACAGCTGGCTGAAAAACTTCGTAAGAGAAAAATGGATCTGGTATGGTATCTTTTCCATTTGGGAGGGTCAAGAAAGGAAATAGGCTACAATCACAGCCTAGAGCAGTGTTTCTCAAATGTGTTTTTTCATTGTCCTGATTCTGATTTTCAGCCCTGTAAATGAAAGGCCTTCTAGGTTTGTGACTCCAGTTAATTCTTCCAGTGATCTTACTGCAGGAGGTATATGCAAGTGATAGTTTAGCCAAAAAGTCGTGACAAATATAACATAATATTCTTTCTTTACTTACAAAAAATGGGGCAGCAGGATGAATCCTGAGAGCGTTTACTGTGAAGCATTACAAGTTCTTACTTATTGGAGGAAGATGGTTGATGCGCGATACCTCTATACTCCCCCTTAAACTAACTTATGTCTCTGTACTGCATCACAGAACACAATGTGGGCATACTCTCAGTTTCTAAATAAGGATTCGAATCCAAGGAACAGTCAAAACAAACCCACAGCTCTTTATGGCATGATAAGTTGCTCTCTTCGGGAGTGTATTTCTGGTATAGATGAAAAAATTAGATGATTCAGCATAGTATTTATCATACTGAGTTGTGTGGGCTGGTACTAACACGTCATGCTCACACCTCTCTGTATTTCTGTGGGTAACTTCAGTCTGCACAGGGTTTTGTAAAATAGGTACGTATCTTAAGTGACTGGAAGGCTGCCAGGGTGGCTTTCACTGTGAGAAAGGCCCCCCTTTCCAACAAATATACAAACAAGTAGATCAGCTTCTGCGTTTACTTCTATTAGTATCTGTCTTGCACAGTAGACTATGGTGCAGAGACTATTGACTTTGGAAAGACAAATTATAACCTCTCACAGCGTGGTACAAGTTGTGCAGAAGTAGCAGATGGGGTCTTGAAAGTTGTCTAGTTGCAGTCATACTGCGCTCAAACAGTAAGCATAGCAGCTCTTCATGGCTGGGGAGCTAGCACAGTTGAAATTGGGTCAGGGATGCGTTTGCCAGGTATGGCATAGAAGTTAAAATACGGACGTGTCCTACCACTGTTAGCCAGGTAACTAGACACATTTGGGCAGGGAAGATAATTCCAGAAGTGATGAGCACAGCCTTCTATAGGATTTTGGGATGTTTAGGCTCCTTAATGCTTCTCAACAGCCTTATGGGAGAGGTAAATGTTGTTCTCTACTGCCAATGGATGGAGAAACAAAGGTACAGAGATGGTATGTAGCTTGCTTACAGTTTGTAGCACAGACCTGTCGTAGAATCTAAATCCTCTGATCCTGTCCTTTGTTAACTTGGTATTACAAATCAATGAATTGCTGTTGGTGACAATAATTTGTTTTCTATCTGGTGATATTACTAGGAGCTGCATTTTTCCAAAGTTGAGAATGATACGGCCCAGGTAACTCTGAATGCAACACATGCTAACTGCAGGCTGGCGATTCTCCAGAAAACACTTTCTGAGCTGGACAAGGAAATTAAAAATATCCACGACCTGATCAGCCGTAGTGAAAGCGAGATCACAAAGCGCAATCTCCTGATTGAGAACAAGCAAGGGGTCATCAACCTGTGCAACAAGAGGTTGGAGATGATTCTTTCCCAGCTTGGGGTATGTATTTTACACTTCAGTCCCAAATTTGACTTTATCCTTTGTGGTGACCACAGATGTCCTTGATGAAGGTAACTGTAAGTTTTGGATAGCTCAAAACTTTTTCAGGCATCAGCACTGTGATTTTAAAACTGCACTAAGTAGTGTAAACATTAACAGTTGTCAGGCAGTTCTTAATGCACGTAAAGAGAAGCTAGCAATGGGGAATCATTGTGAAATGAGGGTGTACATAGTGGAGTTTTCTGCTGGGAGTTGTCTACACCTGATGAAAATGTTGAATTACATCCATACTCTGGAAGGAAATAGGATGACATTATAAGATCAGCAAAGATTGACAAAGGGAGGAGGTAAGGGGTGGGGAGTGATTTAAGTTACTGGATAGTTGGCCCCATTCAGATGATACCTAGATCTATCCCTAACACTATGAACAGGAAGAGCTTTATGGATACCTACTTGCAAATGAGTACTACCGCATACACTTTGCAAATTTTCGACTGTCCAGATATATCTATTGTAAATGCTTAGGTGGCCATCTCACCACAGAATCTGAGAACCTTACAGATTTATATTGCATTTATTCCTGCGAGGTCAGGTAGTTCTGTTATTCCCATTCAACTCATGGCAAACTGAGGCAGAGTAGCTAAATGACAAAACAACAATATAGTCAAAGTATTTAAGGGGCATGTTATTGGCTGGACTGGCCTTCTGCAATGATTCTATAAATAAGTGCTCCAGCGGCTTCTGTCTGATTAATTCCAAACCTTAACCCCTTATAGGGGCAAGAGTTGGGACCACTGGAAGTTGAGATCAACAGACTGACCAAGCAGATAGAAGAATGTAATTCTGAGGTGATGACACTGCAGAAGTACTGGCTCAAGCTGCAGAAAGAGCTAGTCAAATTAACCCATGGACGGGAGGAGCAGCTAGCCTCGTTGGACATGTTAAAGAAGCAGATCACAATCATGCAGCAGAAGAAAGTGCGCATTGAAAGTAAGTCATTCCCTAACGTTTCTGTGTAATGTTTATCAATGAATGGAGAAAAAAAGCAGCAAAGGCTTACAGACAGGTAATGTTAGACCCTTCCCCAAAGAATGCCTTCAATATTCCTATATATGTGTGAGCAATAATGCATATGGTCCCAGAAGTATACTCTGGGGCTAAGAGCCAGGAACTTTCTGCCATTTCGCATGTTATTATTCCCTATAACGATCTGATCTTGCTGTCTCTAACTCACACAGTCAAACCCTAAGTGACGATCTCACGTGTTACCCTTCCTAAATAAAGTCTGCAAGTAGTTGGTAGGTAACAGCACTCTCCTCAGCCAAAACCAACTCTCTTTCACAGTAGTCTATTTCAGAAATCTTTATTTGATTTTTGGGCTTATGGAAAGATGTTTTGGCAGGCTACATAGGACACAGCTGGCTCTACATGCAGTGTTGTCTGGTCTAATTGCAATCTGTCACACCTCGGCTGTACTCAGGCCAGCACTCAAGGGAATTTTAAATCTTTCTTCTGTCTTCCTGTAGATGAAATTCAGCTGGAAACAAAAGAGCAGAAAGACATTGAACATCACATGAGGAACATGTCGAACGACTTGATAAAGTTAAATACGTTGATCAACAAGAACAGCAACAGCTTTGAGGAGTTGCAATATGCAAACATTATCACAGAGAATGAGTTTGTACGCTCCCTCAAGGTATGGAGGCTTGGCTTTTCATCTCCGGGTCGCAGCCTCCCAGCCTGCAGTCTGACTGGGCTTTCCAGAGTTCTGTGCAGCAGGTGGCCCAGAAGAAAACACCTTTGTGGTGCAAAATAATATGACCCGAGGGAGGTTATATAGTTATGTATAGACAGGGCGTTCAAGTTTGTTTCTTGCTTAAGGACGATGACCCTAATTACACAGTAGAAATGGGTTAGGTATACTGTTTGTATGGGTATAAAGGCTGGCAACTGAAAAGGGTATGAACATTAGAGGCGTACAGCAATTCTGTACATCTTTCTCAATCTGACAATACTGTGTTGGTTTTTGCTTCCCAAATCTAGGCAGCAGAAAAAGAATCCATTCAGATGCAGGAGAAGCACAGTCAATTGACTGAGGAAAAGGAAAGACTCCTGAACAGCTTGGTGGAAGCAGAGTAGGTACCAGAGAGATTCTTGCTTTGTGCCACAGTCTTTGGGTCCATATTACCTTCCTTTTGCAATCACAGCAGCAAATGTGTTTCTGCACTTCTTGGAGAAGTTGAAAGTTAGCAAATTTTTGAAATACAGAAACTGAAGGCTCCTTTAGCAACGTTCTAATTTTTCTAGGCCACAGTAACTGTATTTTGTGGTATTTTCCCTGTCCCTTCCACTCCCCAATTAAGCATCTGCAATTTTCTGATTTCTTGTTCTGATTTCTTTTCAGGGCAGCTGGGGCCTCTAGCTGTCTCTGGAACCAGCAAGAGCTGAGAGGATGTTGGCTTTAATGATTCCAGCATGCTTATCTGTGCTGGATGTTGCCAAGATCTGTATGGGAAGGCTGCGCATGGCATCTCCTCTGCCAGTGACTCGGAGCAAATGAGCTGTCCTGGGCAACTAACTGGGGGCTATCAGCCTCCTGTCGGTCTGGGCTTGCTTGTTTTTACACTCACTATGCACTTTCTAAATTGCAGAGCTTCCTGTCTGACTTCACACTGAGGATGTTGCTGCTTTATGACGTGTTTCATATGCACACCTGCTGAACCATTCAGCTTTGTGTTCAGATTCTGGAGTGTAGTGCCACCGATGAACAAACAGCACATCTTCCCTATTGTTTACAAAGGCACTCCTCTCCCTTTCTATCATTGAAGGCATCAAATCATGCTGTGGGAGAAAAAGATCCAGCTGGCCAAAGAGATGCGTTCAGCAGTGGATTCTGAGACAGGACAAGGCGAAATTCGAGCCATGAGAACAGAGATTCATAGGATGCGCGTAAGCCATTGGGAAAGAGGACTGAAGAGGAGGAGTAGCATGCAACTTATTCAGCTTCAATGGAATTGCTGAAACATAAGGCAGGAAAAAAAAAAAACAGGCTGGAGAAGTAGCTTCTTCAAGGCTGTAGCAGTTTCAGGGAAATCTCATGACCCTGCAGCTAGATTGAATTAAATACGTTCAACATGAATGCACTTTATGCGTTCCTTGTACTAGCTGCATAATAGACTACAGCAAAATTTAGACATACCTAAGAAATAAATTTCTTTGAAATATGTCTATTACCTGATTCTGTGACTCCAATTTATATGCAAAGAAATATTGATTATTAAACACTACACCATCTTAATCACTAGTTAGAAGCCATCTATCTTCTGGCAAAGAAACTCTTCCCTTTCATTCTCAAGATGCTTCTGCTTTTCTGCTTTTGGTATTGCAAATGAGTTCCAATGAAACTTCCTGAAGATTACTTTAGACAAGTTGTTATAGAGTCAGTAACTAATTTAGTCCTCTGCCTTCCAGATCCATGCTGCGCAAACTAGGTTTGGATTTAAAATAAATTTGACTTGCCAAGGCTCATACACCTAGTATATGTTGATGGGATGTGCTATACGGAAGACTTTAATTAGGTACCATTTGTAACCATTTGATATTTTCAGCCTTTTTCTTATATGGACAAATGGCAGGTCCGTTATGGCCAGCTGATGAAGCAGCAGGAGAAAATGATTCGTGATATGGAGGCATCTGTCTCTCGTAGAGAGACCATAGCAATTCGTGGAGAAGGTCAGAACAAAACGGATAAGAAACACATCACCAAGAGTGACTTTCACCGCAAGAAACAGGAGCTGAGAAAGAAGATTAGTGAAACGCAGAAGGTGAGCAAGTAAAGCACAGCTGCAAGAATTCACTTAGCCTGCGTTTGCCTTGTAATTAGGAAAACGGTGAGTTTCTCCATTATCATCATTGCATCATGATCTGCTGTCAGGGTATACGAGGAAGGGTGGTGCTGTATTTTCTTGAGCCAAGATTTCCCCCTGGTGGCATGGAAAGTACTAAGGACACAGCTACACGGAGCTAATTCTTATCATGAGACTCATGTACGCCCCCAGGATCCTATGATATCCCGGATGTAGCTTTCGAAATCCTTTGCTTTCTGTTTAGGACTGAATTGCTAGCCATGTACCTGAATAAATAGCCTCTGTTTCAGGATTAAATAGGACTTTTTGAGCTCCCCCAGACTACTTATTTTCTCAGTTATCCTTCTTAGCCTGAGCCCCTAAGGGAACAAAGTTTATGCATGTGTGTGTTAGCAAGTGTACTTCCCCAGCAATTTAAACCCATTTGGATTGGGACTGCTGTGGTTCTGCCATACACTTCCATGCCTTCCTTTGGGATGGCACAGATTCTTGTGTGACAGTCTGGTGAGCCAGATCAGGGAACTGATCCAGCACAGGGAGTGATCAGTTACAAGACACCTGCTCCTCTTCACCTCACTGTAAAGCCAAGTACAGCAATGTACACTTAGCACAGACACACTGGATGTCAATACACAGAACCTGCATGTTTGCAGGTATAGCCTTGCATGCTGAGCACATTCTTTAGAAACTCATTTAAAAAAAAAAAAAAAAAAGGTTATCAGAAGATAGCTGGCTACTGAAGAACAAGAATCTGCCATTTCCTTCTCTTCCAATTACTAGAATGCTCAAGACTGCAACAAAACTATCATGGAGCTGGAGAGCACCCAAGCATCCCTTAGTGCCGCCTGCTTGAAAAAGCAGCAGGAAGTTTGCACACTGCAGGCTGAGTCTGATGGCCTTGATTCAGACATAGAATATCTTCAGGACAAGAAACGATGGGTGAGCATGCTGTTCCCTTGCAGCACGCGAGCAAATAGCACCTTCTACTTGTTTCTGTTGCTGGCTCCCCTAATCTCCATGTCTCATTACCACCCTGAACTGGGCATGCTCAGCACGTAATTTTAGCCACACATTAGACTTTTTCCAAGAACTGCCAATGATTTGAGTATTCAGCCCAAAGCACTGCTGCATAGCTTAATAATAAAGAATATTAATAGATACTTAGATTATATTTAGCCTATAAGTAGTACACAAGAGAACTTCAGGCAAGTTAACACCAGCTGTCTTTGCAGAATTCATGCTTTTCTGTATTAATGATGAACTGACAGCAACTTTATCTGAATGTTTACTTCCCCCCCCCGCCCACTCACATTCCTCACACCTTTTTCTTGAGACTCCATGCTTAACATTCAAGGCCCTTGCTCTCTGAAGGTCCCCGAAGCCTGAGCACTTGAACTATTTTGACAGCTCATAACGGCCTTGAATTGATGCCATGTTCACACTCTTAGTGAGGAAGCATTCAGCTGGAAACATCAGCCTGAAGGACATCTTTTATACCTTTGAAAATTTCAAGTTACGGTTCTATTTTGTGAAGGCCAGCTGGCTACTGTGAGGACACTGCAAATTGGAGAGCCAGTTCAAGGTCTTGAATGACCTCCTATGAAATTTTAAGTTGGTAAAACTCTGCCCTGGCAAGGTTTGCCTTGTATGCATGATTTATTGAATTCTACAGGTGACTGTTTATCTACAACACTCAAACCAGGGATGCTGTTTGGCTGTTGTAATGGGATTTCATGACACTATCCCTCTAAAGAACCCACTCAATTTCAAAATATGATGGTTACAGTACCTCCATGACCTGAAGCATCTTCAGTTTCCTTATAGTTCCTTTCTGCATGCAGTCTACTGCCAAAGCACTTTCCCTTGTTGCTTCTTTTAGAATCTTCTGGAGATTGTGGCCTATCAAACGCGCCAGAAGCACCTGCAGGCAGTGAAGGAGGGGAAATACACTCCACTGTGCCGCACTGAAGAAGCCTGGGGCAAGGAGCACCAGAAATTGCAGGACCGGCTTCACACCATTAGTGTCATAATCCACCAGATGCAGAAAGAGTATCCTCAGCACCAAAGGGCTCTCCAGTGGCTCAGTCAGCGTTTGGAGTCCAAGCTAGGACCACAGGAAGCATAGCAGAGAGACGGTGGGAACCAGATCTGAATAAAACATCTGTTAGAATTCCTCAAATGAGCGTAACCCAACCCGCCTTGCTCTTCTAGATGTTGCAGGCTTTGTAAGTTTTAAAAAAAAAAAAAAAAAAGTATATTTAAACTTATAACGCGCAAATCTTCCTTCCAGACCTACGCGGGGCGGGATTTCTTCCTCTCCTGCCTCCCCTTGCAGCTCGGGC